TTAAAAAAAAACAAAAAAAAAAAAAAAAATATATATATATATATATATATATATAAATTCGAGTTGGCAGGGTGGCGCATGCCTGTAGTCCCAGTGACTCAGAACCCTGAGGCAGGAGGATCGCTGAGGCCAGAAGTTTGAGGCTGCAGCAAACTATGGTTGCACCACTGCACTCCAGCCTAGGCAAGAGAACAAGACCCTCTAAGTAAACAAAATAATAAAATTAGAAATCTGTTGCTTCTTGTAACTTATCAGTCTGGAAAACTAAAGAGATAGAGGTTGGGGGTTTGGGGGAAATTTTTAATTCTCTCTCCTCTGATCAAGATACTTTTGAGCCAGGGAGCATGCATTTTGGCTGAGATAGTGATTTTCCCAGCTTTTTTAGGGCTGGAGATGTACAAACCCATATCCAACTCTATTGTCTATAGCCTGTATGAGTCCATATACAGTCCACATATGTGTACAGTATATATATAGACTGTTTTCCTAACATATGTAGATGCTGTTGGGATGAATTAACTAGAAATTTACTTTAAAACATTTCTAAATGTACAGTACTTGCATCTTCAAGTACTTGCTCAGGCAACTACCCAGTATTACTGGTTTTTTCCTTTGGCCTCAGACCCCAATATGGTTCTGCACAACAGCATTATTGATCTTTATTTTAAAATGCGATCACTTATTCATCATATATTCTTTGTATTAATTTTGAGTTTAAGATTATATATATTATCTTGCTTACCTTTTTTACACCCTCCTAATATTTTGTACTCCAAGGAGTATCTCACTAGCCTCACCTGCTTTACCCCAGTCCCAGCCTGGCTTCTAGGAAGCACTAGGCATGATGGGGGCCAAAGAAGCATCATATATATCATTCAATCCCCTAAAAGTCAGAGGAGAGCCAATTTCCCGATGAATTTCATGCTTTTGGTCAGTTTACAATACTCTATGTTTATAGAGCACTTCAAGTTGTTTTAATTTCAAATACCAAATGTAGTATCTCCCTCACCTCATTTAATGGCCTTTAAACACTTTGTGAAGGAGGAAGGACATGTAGTTTTTATTCCTATAGACATGGGAGAAATTTGAGCAAAGAGTAGTATTTTGTGCAAGGCCACACAGCTAAAAACGGGCAATGTGCAGGTAGATGGTTGTAGCACAGTGATTGCAGAATCAAGGCCGCTGGACCCCCAATCTGGGGACCGTCTGCTCTGCCTCCCTAACCTTGACCAAGATAATTTTGTTGTTGTTGTTGTTGTTGAGTTGGAGTCTCACTCGGTCACCCAGACTGGAGTGCAGTGGCCGCTCTTGGCCACCGCAGCCTCGCCTGCC